GGCGGTGTCACCCCCTGTCCCTGTCCCATCCGAGCCCTGAGCAGGGCGGTGTCACCCCCTGTCCCTGTCCCATCCGAGCCCTGAGCAGGGCGGTGTCACCCCCTGTCCCTGTCCCATCCGAGCCCTGAGCAGGGCGGTGTCACCTCCCGTCCCTGTCCCTGTCCTATCCGAGCCCTGAGCAGGGCGGTGTCACCTCCTGTCCCTGTCCCATCCGAGCCCCGAGCAGCTCTCATTTCCCAGAAGGAAAAGGTGAATCCCACACCAACAGCTCAGAGTTTGTGTCTTTCCTGATGGGAAAACCAGCAAATCCTGGAGGTTTATTTTATACCATCTCATGATGAATATTGGCGGGTGGCCCCCCCCGAGGCGGGGCAGGGCCGGTGGGTGTTTGGCAAGTGGATTTTTCCAGGGATAAAACCATAAATGGAGGCAAACTCTGGGTTGTGCTGCTTGTCCCCGGGACTGGAGTCACCCAGCACTCGCAGCATGGCCACGCCAGGGTGAAGGAGCTTGGAGGACGTTTGGATGCTCCAAAGGAGCTCCCTGTGGTGCTGTGGCCCAAAAAACAGTTTCCCAAAGTGGCTCGGGTGTGGGGTGGAGCGGGCAGGGCTCTGCAGGGCCCCTCTGGATCGGGGCCCCTCTGGATCGGGGCCCTTGTGCCCAGTGGGTGCTCCAGCTGCCCCTGGAGCCTCCACGGCTTCCCCGGGAGCAGGTTATGAATTTTGGGAAACCAGCCGGGACATGAAAGGTGGCCACGAGGTGACAGTGGCACACGGGGAGGTGCCATCCCCATGGAGGGGGTGAAGCAGAGGAGGGGAGCAGGTTTGGAATCATCCCCGCTCCCTGTTGCTCCATCCCAAAGCTCAGCTCTGCCTGCTCCAGGGGCTGTGTCACCTCATGGTGGCCCCGCTCACCCCAGGGGATGCCTGGGTGGCACTGCCACCTCCAGCCTGTGGGGCTGGCTCAGCGCCGGGCCCTGGGTGGGCTCGCAGACCCCTCACCCCGGGATGAGGAGCTGAGGGTCGGGAGCATCTCCCCACGGCTTTGGGCGGGGGTGGTGGGGGGGTGGAAGCTGCTGCCTTCAAAACCGGGAAGGAGCTTTGGAGAGCATCCCAAAGGATGAGCTGGTTCAGGGTGAGCCTGGAGCAGAAAGGTCCCTGGTAAGGGATTGGAGCCTTTGGGGATGCCAACAGCACCAGGACACACGGGGTGAGGGTGGAGGGGACAGCCTGACCCCAGTCAGCAGCACAAAGTTCCTCTGGCTGTGAGCAGGAGCTGCTCTCCCAGCCCAGGAGCTCAATTCAGCCTTCCCCTGGAATGAACAGATTATCGGATCTGGGATATCTCGGGGAATAATCACCAACAAAGCTGCTGGAAGCTGAGTGGTAGAAAGGAATGTGACCAAAAACCAGGAAACTCCTGCCCAGCCGGGAAAGCCCCGCTGGATTTATCCTGAATCAGGTGAGCGAAACGCCGAGCGAGGCTTCACGGAGTGAAGCGAGGGGACAGCTGGGGACACAGAGGCCATCCCCGCTGGGAACGGGGGGCTCCAGCCTGGGGATGATCCCCCTGTGCCTCTACTGCCCAGGGCTGAGCACTGCCTTCATCCCCCCAGCAACACTTCGTGTACCCCCCTCCAAAAGTGGGGACCCCTCCCCACCCGCTGTCTTCTGGAGGATGCGGAATGGACAAGAGCCGGGAGGAAAGCGCCTGTCAGCAGGATGCCAGCACCATCTCCGGAGAGCTCCGGAGCCCGTTCCCATCGCCGCGTCCATCCATCCATCACCCCCCGTCCCCGGGGACACGGCGAGCTGACCCCGCAGATCTCAGCAGTCCCTCCCTGCTCTCCCCGCCGTGACGAGCCCGGCACGGCCGCGGGGGCGAGTTGGAGGCTGCTGATTCTCCATTAACGCACCACCCTGCCGGGATAATTAATCGCAACCTCGGCGGCGCTGGTTTGAGCAGAAACCCCCCGGATCCCCCCCGCGCTCCGTTCGCCGGCTCCTCTGGCAGAGCCTGATGAAGATTGATTCGCGGGCGGCGGCAAGAGCGGCACGGAATTGTCACGGAACCCGACAACCCCGTTCAGATCAAGCCTCTCCTTTCTCCCTGCCTCCACATCCCGCTGTCCCCCCGCCGCGGGCAGCTGGGTCCCGCTCAGGAGCGGGAGAGTTTCCAAAGTGCTGGCAGCGGCTCCAAGTTTCCCTCTCGCCCCGACTCAGGGGACCGGCACCCCGCGACATCCGTGGAGTCACCAGAACGGGAAAGCGCGGGCGGGAGTGAACTCGGAGGGAAGAGATTGCAGTTGGGAACAAAGCTCACACCTGCTGGAGACGCAACCTCGGGCACTGACAGCGCAGGGAAAGGGTCCCCATCCATCTCCCCGGCCAGCGCTGGCTCGAGGCAGGAGATGAGGGTGGCATTGCCTATCTTTTAGATCAGCATTTTTCCTTTTCTGCGGGCTTTTTTTGGGTGATGGCGAGCCGGTCCCAACGCAAGGTCACCGCGGAGGCGGCGAGGGGAGCGATGACAGGCAGCATCTCGCACAAAGCACCCCCGGCATGCCGATGAGCCTTACCAGCTGCAGGCAGCAGAATCCCACCAGCGTGCATCGCCCGTTGCATCTCCCCATGGCTCCCCAGCCGGATCCTCGGGGCTCCCTCACCGTGGCCGCGCTCCGCCGCCGCTCTCCAGCTCCTCACCAGCAGCCCCTTGCCCACCCGGGGAGCGTCACGGGGGGCTCCAGCACCATGTCTCGCTCTCCAGCCTCCGGCCAGCCCCGCCGGCTCAGCACAGCGGCGGGCTGGGCTCGGCGCGGGGCATCGCCCCCCTTCTCCCTCCGCCCCCCGCCCCGCTACAGCCCGCTCGGGCGGCGCGGGGGCCGCGGGGCCGCGCAGCCCTGGCCGCCCATCCCCGGCCCGGCCCGGCGCGGAGCCGCCCGCTCCGCTATTGTCTCCGCACAGCCGCGCTCCGCGCCCCGGGCGGGCGGGGCCGGGCGGCGCGGCCGGAACAAGGCGGGCCGCGGCAGCCAGCGGGGCGCGGCGGGCGGTGCGGCCGGGCGGGGCGCGGGGGGGGCCGGGCACTCCGCGCCGAGCCGAGCCCTTGGCGGCCTCCGGGGGCGCGGGCAGCGCGGCCCCTCCGCCGCATCGCGGCTCCCGCCCGGCCTTATCCTTAATCGTCAGCGTTTTGTCTTTTAAATCGCAGATTTTTGTGATTGTTCTTTTTTTTCTCTCCGGAGCCAGGTGCGGCCGGGTGAGACCCTGGGGAAGGGCTGCGAGATGCTCCCCCCGTATTCCCCCCCTCATCCCCCGGCCCTGCGGCCCTTGGGCGGCGCCTGGACCCGCAGCACAGGGACCCCGCCGCCTCCCCTGGGGTGGCCATGCCAGCGCAGCAGCTGGCCTTGCGGGGAGGACAGATGGCTGAGGCCGGAGGGAGCGCCCCACGTCCCCCCGCAGAGCCCCGCTCCGCAGAGCCCGCTCGGCACACGCGGCTGGGGCCGGGGACGAGCCCCGGCCGGGGGCAGGGTGCCCGGGCAGGGAGCTGGGTGCAGACGGGGCTGCCACGGCCCCTTACCGCCACCCACCCGCTCGCCTTTGTTCTGTTTTCACTGCACACCTTCGGGGACATCGCAGAGCGACAGGAATCACCGGGATGCTGCTTTCCCAGCGCTTTAGAAACCTCTGGCTGAAATGCCACCCGGCAGAAGCACTTGGAAACAGTTTGCTGCTTTTAATTTCCATGATTTCTTAATCCTCAGCGCCGATGTTCAGAAGGAAGCGCCTCCTAAAGCAGCCCCACACAGCCTTAGGTGTCAGAGCATCCGCACGGCACCCGAGACATGAAGCTGCATTTCCGTGTGTGGTCCAAGCTCATCCAGGCTTGCCAGGGCTCATCCCTGCGAGCTGCTGGGACCAGCCTGCAGCACCTTCCGTACCCTGAGCTTCCCCTTCCTCCTCCGCGACGGGGATTTCTCTCCCCCCCGGGGCTGTTCCGTGCTCCCAGGGGCATTTGGGGAGGCTCGTGAGTGGCTGCAGGACGGGGCTTTGCAGAAAGCGCTTGGCTTTTGTGCACTGAGAAGCACGGAGCGCGGAGATGCAGCTCCTCAGGGACGCTCTGAGCCGCGCTCCTGGGAGCAGGAGCAGACTGAGACGCGGTGTTTGAGGCCACCTCTGTTTATTCCACCCTGGCCTGGCTGAGGGAGCTCCGCCAGCCCTGAGCATTCCCCCAGCTCGCTCTGCAGGCTGCCGAGGATCCCTGAGCTGGGACACCCCCTCCGTGGGCTGGACTCCAGCCCTCCCAGCTCTCCTGGCTCCGGGATCCCCAGGATTTCACCTGGGAGAGGTTCCATCACCTCCATCCCATTGTGTCCCGGGCTCGTGAGGGTTGTCCAGGTACAGGCACAACTCCAGGGTTCAGCTTTTGGGCTCCTCTGGGATTTAAACACAGCAGAAACTGGGAGCGGAGGGATTGGGGTCTCCCTGCATGATAAGGACAAAACCACCTCACAGCATCTCCTTGGCCATGGCCAGGCCCAGCTCAACCCTCCTGCAGCCCCCAAAGCAGCAGGGAAAGGCTCTGATGGAAAATCAGAAATCCCCATCCGACGGCGCCGAGATCCCGCCTGGCTCCCGACCAGGTGGAGCTCTGCAAAGAATCAATTTTAGATTAAAAAAAGGTCAATAAAGCCTGTCATGGAGCTTCCCTGGAAGGAGAGGAGATAACTTCATCCGAGAGAGGGTGGAAATGAGCCCAGGGCTTTGTCCTCTGCTCTGCTCAGAACCTGCCACCCCACACCCCCACCCTGGGGTCTGTGTGCAGTGAAAAGCCCCAGTGGCCAAAACTGCAGAGAAAAATACCGGGAGGAAATCAAAAAAGTGTCATGTAATTAATTGGGAGGATGGGAAATGGGAGCCGTGCTCTGATCCCCAGCTGTGCCCCCACCCAGCCCTGTTGTGCCTCAGTTTCCCCAACAGCCCTGGCGAGGTCAGAGCCTCATCCCAAATCTCCTGTGGGATGGAGAAGGGGGAGGAACGCCCCCCCATCAAGGCTGAGCCTCCTCTGCCAGCCCACATCCCAAGGTGGGGTGACAGGAGTGTCCCCCACGGCCATCTGGCTCTGGCAGGGCTGGATCCGACCTGGCCGAGCTCTCCGTGCCCCAGGGCAGGAGGAGCCAGATGCGATCTCGTCCCCAGGTACACAAAACCCTCTCCTTCCACTAAACCCCAGTGTTTTGAGTCAAAAACCATCTGTGTCTTTATGCCAGAGAGAGCTCTCCCTGCCACAGGTATAAACAGAGCACAGAGAAATCAGCTTTTTTCACTGAACGGATATTTTTATACCACAAAGTCGGGTTTTTGTCTATTTGGGCAGGGCTGGAGGAGCCTGGGGACAGGGACATCAGTCCCAGGGCCAGGGAGGGGCCAGCCCTGGGGTCAGTGACACCCCAGCCCTGGGGTCAGTGACACTCCAGCCCTGGGGTCAGTGACACCCCAGCCCTGGGGTCAGTGACACTCCAGCCCTGGGGTCAGTGACACCCCAGCCCTGGGGTCAGTGACACTCCAGCCCTGGGGTCAGTGACACCCCAGCCCTGGATACCAGGGATGTCCCAGACTTGGGATTAAGGACATTTCAGTCCTGAGGTCAAAAGTGCTCCAGCTCTGACTCCAGGGATGTCCCAGGCCCAGGATCAGGAATGCTCCATCCCCAGGGCCATAAATTCCCCATCCCTGGGATCAAGGCTGCTCCAGGCCTGGCTCCAGGGACGTCCCAGACCGGGATCAGGAATGCTCCATCCCTGGGCTCAGCCCCAGCCCAGTCCCAGGCTGGGCAGGACTGGGAGCACCCTGGGATAGTGGAATGTGTCTCTTCCCACGGCAGGGGAGGAATGGGATGAGCTTTGTGTCCCTACAGCCAAACCAGTCTGGGATTCCGTGATTCTGTGAGCTCCCCAGGAAGAAATACACATTTGTTTAACCATCCCTTCCCTAATTTGAACACAATTAGCCCCCAGGTGCCAGTCACCACCAGCTCCTGGATCAGGTAATGGATCGGGCTCGCGCGGCTGTCGGAGAATCAATGGAGGAATTAAAATGAGTTCCCACCGTTCCTTCTCTGTCGTCATCTTATCTCTGTGCTGGGGAGAAGGGCAGCACATCCCAGGATCCATCAGCATTTTGCCTTTGGAGCTGGCAAAATCCATAATTAACAAAAAATTTCTATTCACTTGCTCATGTAATTTAATTAGCTTTCCATTAAACGGAGACTAAACAGCATCTATTCCCCAACAGAGCAAATAATTGTTTGCCATTCTTTCAGAAATCATCAGCTGCTCCTTGGAACTCTCGGAATTCACTGGGGAGCAGCAGTGGGAGCAGGAAGGGCAAAGCTGCAGGAAGGACAGGCAGGGACGGAGAGGGGTGGCAGGATGTCCCCGGTGAGCCCAGAGCGGGGGGCTGGATCCATCCCGGGAGCTCTGGGTGCCGCCTCCCCCTCCAGCCGGGATCTCCCGGGGATGCTGGCACTGCCAAAGGGACGGGACAGGGATGGGACAGGGATGGGACGGGGATGGGGACGGGGATGGGGACAGGGACGGGGATGGGATGGGGACAGGGACGGGACAGGGATGGGGACAGGGATGGGGACAGGGACAGGGATGGGATGGGGACAGGGACGGGGATGCGACGGGGACGGGATGGGGATGGGACGGGGGCAGGGATGGGGACAGGGATGGGATGGGGATGGGATGGGGACAGGGATGGGGATGGGACAGGGATGGGGACGGGGACAGGGATGGGACAGGGATGGGGACACCTCCAGCCCCAAGTCCCCACTGAGGGATCAGCCCCCCCAGCACAGCTCCATGGAACCAGGCTGTTTATCCGGATCCCAGGAAAGATTTAATCTCCAGTGGAAATCTCCCAAGCAAATATCTCCCTCCGAGGAATAAATCTGTTTAAAGAAACAATTTTCTCCACACTCAGATGAAGCTTTGAACGCTTTGCTGCTGCCATGGCCAGGGATGGGAGCCAGGAGAGGCCTGGGCTGCTCTGGGTGCATCTGGGACCAGTGGGAACAGAGAGGGACTGGCCCAAATCCCCCTGGGTGCTGCTGGGAACCAGTGGGAGCAGAGGGCTCTGTCCATCCTGGGCC